TTAGCAGTCTGTTTGAAACGGTATTGAACAACTGGACCAACTGGTTGTGATATTTTAAAAACGGTTCTAAAATACCCAGAATTTCTTGCTCCTCCATCTGCTCGATATGGTTATACTGGCAACGTGCGTTTATTTGCTGCTTCTCATCACCCATGAAGTAGATTTGCAGAAATTTGGGATCATTATTGGGCATCGGCATTAAAGAACCAATTTGGTGATACACTTGGCCCTGAATCTTAAGCGTTGATTGAAAATTGCGACCAATCTCATTCTGAACGATTTTTGTTGTTTCAAATGATGTCATTTGAAAGCACGAATTGAATTTGCGAATTTTACGAAAAAACCATTTAGATTAAGATGTAGCTCCAGCCAATAGTGCTTTCAATGGTTCTGGCGGCGAATTCAATGGTGGCAATACAACTTTTCCAGATGCGCCGCAGAAATCGGCCGATTCACCTTTGTATTTGAGTGCATGACAGTGTTGGCACTGTTTGTTCATAGCACCGATTGCAATTCGTGAATGTGACGAAATGTCGATATCCGACTCATATTCATATTATTTTTTTTTGTACGTTATTTATATCTTTAACATACCCCAGTAAAATAATTATATGTGCAGTACTTAAAAACTAATTTAAACTTCAAAAAATTTTGTTAGGGTGAATTTAGTTTATTATTTGTTTTCATGTTTAGTAGTCTAATTAAAATAATAAAAAAATTTTATTCAAATTAATTTTTTTAAGAGAAAAATTAACTTTATTTTAAATCTTCATAGAAAATATTTATATGTGCAATTCACATTTTTTGCTAAAAACAATTAAATATTTTATGTGATTCAATTTTTTTTATTTTTCAATAAGGTAATGTGTTTCCATTATTTATTTTTATTAACTGTATCCTAAGTGGCATTGAATCTACCAATTTTTTTAATAGTAGGAGGTCAATTTTGGCCCATTCGTCCAGTATATCCTTTTTCAGCTCTTTAAGAGTGTCGTATTGCTTCGAATAAGCATAAATATTGGCACTAAGGATACACCAAAGATCCTCTATTGAATTTATGTCAGAACTCATGGCCGGCCAATCTAGCAATGGGATGCTTCTCTCTTCAAAGAATTTCTTTTTGCACAAGAAACATGTATTGGAGCATTATCCTGTTGGAAAGTCCAATTATCTCCATGAATATTTTCAGCGAAATTTATCAGTTCGCTATCCAACAGATTTATGTATATTTCGGAATTCATTTTTGATAGTGCGAAGCATATATTAGACTTTTCCTTCGAGCTAAAGGCAGCCCACACCATTAGTGGACCACCACCATGGTTGCGTTTCTTGCAATTCTGACGTGGATGACGAATATCTCTCCAATATTTATGTTGACCATCTGGACCATCTAGATTAAACTTTTTTTCATCACTGAAAACAACTGTTTCGAACTCCTTGTCTCAAAACTTAATTTTGTCATAAAAAGCTAAACAAGCATTTTTATGTCTTTGTGTAAGGCACGGTTTGGGAACTTTCGACTCATATTTTAGCTTTAAGTCTTTTTTCATAATTTGTTGCACGCATTTCCTAGTGATAGACAAATATAATGCATTTCTTATTTGTCTGCAACTCATCCTCTCATTGGTAGCAAGAAGCTGAATATGCCGTTTTGTTCGGTTGTTAATAGTTGGTAAGCGGCCGTCTCGCTTATAACACCATAGTTTTCGAGATTTTTTAAAAAGTTTATTATAGTATTCAGGTGTGTATAACCAGCAGCAGATATTTCGCCACTTTTCACCCCAGCAAGACTCATTTCAATAATCTTTCCGCACTCTTCACTTGAAAATTCCGTCCCACGCGGCATTTTTTATCTAAATTAATTAAAATAATAAATATTTATTAATAAATAATAAGTATTTTACTTACCAATTCTTCGTTACTCTTCAATACTTTAAAAAAAAAACTTTATAATACACTTCACAACTTTATTTCCATTTACTGTTGACACTTCGAGAAGCAAAACAATTTTGCACATATAATTATTTTCTATTAAATTTGCTACCTATTGTTATTAATTATGATAACGGTACCACAAATAGTATACAAAAAAAACTATATATGTTTAGAGAAGTTAAACTCAACTACAGAATCAACTGTATATAAAAAAAATTAGTACCATTATTCTAAGAAGAGAATAACGAAAAACAAATTTTGCACATATAATTATTTTACAGGGGTATATATATAATTCTTCTTTTTTATGTGTGTTCAAGTGAATTTAAGAATGGTTTAGATTCACAATTTGGTCCACTGGATAACGTTTTTTTAATTATTATACAGTTTTTTGGTATCCATATACATTTATATTAGACCTTTAAAAGTTAATCATACTTACTTTGATTTGTTTAAAAAGTTTAAACTCTAAAATGAATCGTTCAGCTATCCTGTTGTATTTTTGAATTCGCTGGAATACCAGGAATACCAACACATAACTTAAGATTAAAAATTGGCTCACCTATAATTGTACTGCGGAATTTAAATGCACTTAAGCTATGCAACGGCAATTTTACGATTCATTTTAGAGATTTTAAACTTTTTAAACAAATCAAAGTAAGCATGAATAAATTTTAAATTTCTAATATAAATGTATATGGATACCAAAAAATAAAAAATTAATTAAAAAGACATCATCCAGTGAGCCAAATTGTAAATCTAAACCTTCCTTGAATCCACTTGAACACACACAAAAAATTTCATCAAAATCGGTTCAGGAACCGTTTAGGAGAAGTTCACTGTCAACACACGTACAGAAGAATTATATATATAAGATAATAATAGTATTTAGAAAATATGGACGTCTAACCACTGACGAGAATAGACATTTAAAACAATTAAAATTTAAAATCGATATTTATATCAAAGAGTGCTATTTCTAACTGAATTATCATGTGCCGAGCACTTTAAAAAACGAAATCAATTAGCCAAGGTTTGTGTAGATATTACAGGACACTTAATTTCTTACTTAATTGAAATTGAAAACTATTTAAAGCAGGATTTTAAATACTCTGCTGAAGAGAATTCTTCACAATCTTATTTCTTAAAAAAAATAATTAAACTCCCATCAAGTCTCACTCTCATTAAACACTAATCTAGAAGATAGTCAATATATTCACTTAAAGTATATCTACAAATCCTTATTTCTGTATGGCAGCCATAGTCATAGAACATTTTTGGAAAAATAAATTTAATCAACTAGGGTCGACCTATGACGTTACTTGCAATACAAAGAAGACGCAACAAATGTATAATGAGAATGAAAATAAAACTAAAACTATTTTCAAATTAAAAAAAATAAAGAAATGTAAAAATTTGGCAAACAAATTAAGAAGTTTGCGAATTTCTAAGTTTACAGATAAAAGGACAAGAGCCTTAATATGTACTCAGTTAATTTCAAACTACAGACGTTGACAAAATCTTGAGTGTAATCAAATATTGGTTGGTTGAACCAAAAAATCTTTGAAAAATCAAATCTTAATTACTAAGCAAAGATTTTAAATAGATCTAGAATGCCGTTTCTCCTGTGCTCGTTATTAAGACCAGTTGTTGAACTGTCTGTTATTAAGAAATTTTAATATCTTAACAAAAATTGAAACTGATCGCGTCATATATAACCGAATTTTATTTAATAAAGAAATTTTATGAGGAATTTCATTTTTTAATAATTAAAATAAAAATATTTTTATTTAATCAAAATTCTATAATATCATAACGAAACATATAACGGGACACAGTATTCAATTTAAATTCCATTCGAAATATCATATGTTTTATTTAAGCTTTAAATATATAGACTCCAAGGCTACAACTCCAAGGCCACAAATTTATTTCTGAAGTGAAATGGATGTGAATGTGAAAGATATATGTGGTTTCAACAAAACGGTGCTACAAGTCACATAATACTTTTCCAGAAGTGTAAGCTTTCCTTTTTGGTTCTGTTAATAGGAGACCAAGTTTATGTGATTTGTCACCAAACAAACAGTTTCCGAATGGTTACACAAAGAATCCTTAAACTCTAGACGCTTTGAAAATGAACATCCCTCAAATTACCACATACATGGCAATAATGTTTACCAACTACATATAAAATATACGTTAAAGAGATTCAGTGCTGATTGATGTTCCATTATGATGTATATTATACGTCATCAAAAAGTCTAAATTATATATTAAAATAAAAATTTGGACTTGTGTTGGTCTGAAACAGAATTTTTGTGGTTATCTAAATTTGATCTGGATCGCGAGTGGGATTCTGTGGTTAAAGTTTTCGACAAAGCCTGCAATTAAAAACTATTAAATAAAACCCATGATGAACAATAAAAAGAGACAACAACAGAAGATATTGATTTATTTCAATACTCTCCATTTAAATAACTCAGTTGGTGGTCCCTAGGAAAGTATTTTGCCATTTTCTTTGACTTACCCAGTATTATAAATGCTCTAAAGTGAGGGTACTGAATTTTTTCCTTCATTTATTAGTCATTATATTGAAAGCTTTGGTATTGGTTTGGTTGACATAAACGCATATACCATAGCTATATAACTGCTTAATTTTTCTCATTGATTTTACAAATTTTTAATAATTATTTATTACTAAGAAATATTTTTGAGTACATATATACACTCCACATATATAATGTACACATATTCATATAAGTAGTTAACCTAAAATAAATAATTATTACAGACTATAAATTTCAGATTTCATATAACATTATTGTTAATTATATTACACCTGCTTTATATAACAAAGAACCTATACCTTCCAACGAGAAAACCAAATGGAAACTATAGGTAATGAATTTATCTTAAATCTGTAATTATCTTTATTCTGTTAATCTTCAACAGACATTTCAAAAATAATTACTTTCCGTCTTCTTTCCTGTTCCCTTCTCTCTATGTCGCTATTTCTCACATTATTTCAATTTATTATAACTTTATAAAAGTCTGAAGAGGTGCAACTCCAACTCATTTGATTTGAACTTGTGAAAAAGTGAAGTTTGAGAATATTAGAGGTATATATATTTTGCAAAGCCTCAATTTACAAATAAATCAGTGTTTTGTTGATAATTAACAAAAGTCTATCAAATATTTAATAATTAATCTGTTGAATAAGTTGAATTAATATATTGTACTTGAATGGATATTTTAAAATTCAAGAACAATTGGTTCTTTAAATTACAATTTTGTGTTTGTTAATATTATTAATAATTAATTTTATTAATTAATTCAATTACTACAAGATTAGATTAATTTAATTAATACAAGAATACATACTGCCTCTTCTTAGTAGCAGGCTAAGGGTGGTTTTTCTAAACTTTAAGAAATATTTTTTTTAGTTAGTATTTTCATAGCTTAGATTATGAGCAGAATAAATTTAAAAACCTATAAACAAAAAAAAATACACATTTGTCTACTATATATTCATCAACATATAAGTGGAGTTTAAAAATTCCGTCACTGCATGCAAGTGACAATTAAAGCAAACTGACTTAAGAAATATCGGATTTAAGGGGTTTAGTATCGGATTGAATATGGGCAAGTTATCAATTTAATTTATTTTTCAAAACATTTTATTCCCATAGGTAGGTAGGTAGGTTGAAGTGACGCCATGTTTCCAAAAAGCACACTTAAGTTCAAATAATGGCTCATTTTAGTACCACAGAAATAGCATCAGAAAGTGCATAAATTGAAATCAATATACAACGAATCCCAAACGAGGTAGCGACTCACCCATTAGGTAAAGGAAAACCAGCCTGACAGCTTTACAAATTTGACTAGGTGCCTAACATTATAGGATGACAGCTCAGGTCGGTGAGAAAAGGGGACCGAAGATTTTTCATCTTCTCCTAACTAAAGAAGGGCATTGATGGAGCACGGTCTCCTCCTCTTCCTCATAGCCACAACCTCGACATAAGTCATTGTAGGGTAGACCTAGTCTCATTGCATGACTTTCTATTTCGCAGTGATCCGTCAGTACATATACCGCAGAGCTGATCAGGTTTCGCATTACTTGAAGTAACTGACTAATGCGTTTCTTGTCTAAATTAGACCAAGTCAACCAAGTCAGTTAGATATAGTGTGAGACTTTGATGTCAATGCACCATTTGGCTATTTGAAGTCAACGTGCCAGTGTTTTTTCACCGGTGAAAATTGTTGAACAACCTGCAGTCATTAAATTCTTTAAATTAGAATTTCGTACACATAGGAAATACTTTCAAAATATTGGTTTGGTTTGTTAAAAAATGATTGGGAAGCGTATTAAAAGCTACTTTATGATTGGTAACTCGGACGAAATAAACCGGGAACAGTGGTATGTTGCGATTTTCATAATATTTTCGTTGACTGTGTACGAGTGTTTAAGATGATGTGGGTTTACATGATTTAAGTCAGTATTTCACTTTTCCCCATGCATTTTTTAAGGTCATGTTCTAGTCTTTATTTCTTTATTGCGCATAATATTTATATATAGATATATATATGTATATAGATTTTATTCGAACAGTAGTGAACTACAACAACAAAAATTCTTGCTTATATAATTTTCATTAATTGAATTTTTGGCTGACCATACAGCTGTTTCAAGCATTTGTAAACACCAATCATCAGTGATCTTGGAAATAATTCTTGTATTTAATTATTCATAAATAATTTTTTTTGGGACTAAAAGTACCAGGAATCGAACTCGTGTTCTGCCAAATTCGAAGCTGACCCAATATATATAATAATAATAATACGACTTGCTCGACGTCTATGATTTCGAGCAGCCTCTTATACTGGGCATAGGCTGTCTATAAGCCGCTTCCACCTTTCGCGCCGTAACGCTACGTCCTTTATATCTGTAATGTTGCTTATGTTTCTTCCTAGGGGCTGCAAAATGGTGTTTATTTCATTCAACGTTGACCTTCTCCATGTTGTTTTTGGACGGCCTCTTCCTCTACTACCTTGCGGGTTTTATACCAACGCCTGTTGACAAATTTCGGTGGGAGCTTTTTAAAGTGTATGCCCTATCCATCCAAATTTTCTTTTACGAATTTCAAGATAGACATCTCTAACATTTGTTCTGGTCCAAAGATCGTAATTTGATATTCTGTTTGGCCAGAAGATACGTAAAATTATGCGGAGACAGCGGTTAACAAATACTCTCAGTTTGCTTGGTATGTTTTCTGTAACAAACTAGGTTTCGCTACCATACAGGAGAACTGAAAGAACGCATGCTTTAAAGATTTCTATCTTTGTGCTTAAACTATAAGTATTAGAGCTCCACACTTTACGAAGCCTTGTAAAAGCACCAAGGGCTTTCTTTATTCTACTTATCACATCTTGCGCTGTACCTCCATTTTCAGACACAATACTCCCTAGATACTGGAATTCATTTACGCGCTCAATGGTCTCCGTTTCCAACTTCAAAGCTTCGTCAATTCGATTGTTTATTCGAACTTCTTTTGTTTTCTGTGCATTGATTTTTAGTCCGACTTTGCACGACTCTAAAGATAGGTCATTAAGTTTCTGTTGCATATCAACAAGCCGATGTGACAACTCGCATTTATCGCCAGCATAGTTCAAACACTCTAGCCTAGTGTTCGGTGACAGTGGGTTCCATACAATACCTCGTACCTTTCCTTTATTTGCTCTCTTGGCCACTGCGTCAAGCACAATTAGAAACAGCAGTGGGGAAAGGACGCATCCTTGACGTACGCCAGAAATTGTACAAAAGAGCTCAGACAGTTTGTTGTCGTGTAAAACTGAGCACTTAAATTGATCATAGCTTTTTGCAATTACTGAGATTATTTTAGCTGGGACACTAATATTTTTCAACTCTGCCCATATGCAATTTCGATTTAACGAATCAAACTCCTTTTCAAAATCGATGAAAAACAGATAAAGAAGGGATCGCATCTCTATAGATTGTTCTATGATAATTCTAAGACTGTTAATGTGGTCAACATAGGATCTTCCGCTTCTGAAACCCGCTTGATCTGGTAGTAGTACTTCAACAACTTTTACCATTCTTTCTAGAATAATTTTCATAAATATTTTCATCACAGAACTTAGAACCGTAATGCCGCGCCAGTTGTTACAGTCACTTAGGTCTCCTTTCTTGGGTATTTTGATTACAATGCCATGAAGTCAGTCAGAAGGATAAGTTTCTGTTTCCCAAATGGTTTTGAAAAGCGGGTATAAGATATCTTTAAGCTTTTCCGTTTTTCAGCAGTTTTATTGCATTGGTTATTTCTCTTTTTGAGGGATGATCAATCCTAATCGGTAACTCATTTACGTTGTCATTTTGCGTTATCACGATACCTTCGCGTTCTAGGTTCAATATTTGAATAAAATGTTGACGCCATCGGTTTAGCTGATCATTTACGTTTGTCAATAGCTCACCAGAGAGATTCTTGACAGGTAGGGTTCTTTTGACGCTCTCGCCTGTTAGTTTCTTTGTTATATCAAAGAGACTTTTCATATTATTTGATGCCGCTGCATTTTTCGCTTCATTTGCCATTTTGTTAGAGAATTCTTTCTTATCGTCCCGAACTGGCCTTTTGGCACGTTTGTCCAGATGTGTGTACTATGTTTGCGCTCTCTTTCGATCGTTAAGCTTCTTCATGGCATTTATTTCATTTTTGAGTTTTGCTCGTTGTTCTATCATTATCCAAGTTTGTGCTGAGATGAAGTCGTCTTTGTTATTATTTGACGCTCTACCCAAGATTTTCATACAGGTTTCATTAATAGCCATTTTTATTTTGTTCCAGCAATGTTGGGGATTTAAATTGTCAGTAGGAACAGACACTTTTTCAGAGATGGTACGTGAATAATTTTGCTTTATATTTGGTGCTTTCAATTTAGAGATCTTGTATTTGATTCTGCCTTCTTAATTCTTATTAATTCTTAATACTAGTCAACCAGTATTTTGCCAACTAGTAGGTGGTGATCAGAGCTGATATCGGCCCCCCGTTTATTTCTTACATCAATTAAACAGTTACTCCACTTTGCCGTAACACAAATATGGTCTATTTGATTTTGTGTTCTCATATCAGGTGATACCCACGTTATTTTATGTATTGTTTTATGCGGGAAAAGCGTGCCTCCAATTTTAGTTCATTTATACCACATATCTCTACAAGGCGTTCGCCATTGTCATTCATGTCACCAAGGCCATGTTTTCCAATGACGTGCTCTAAATTTTCATTTACTTCTCCAATTTTAGCATTAACGTCGTCCATCACAATTTTAAAATCTTTCTTTGGTGCTTCAGCAATTGCAGCGCTTAGCTTGTCATAAAAAGCGTCTTTATCATTTTCGTTGACATCTTCTGAACAACCGATATATTTTTCGAACGACACTTTAATCTTATCATCATTATGCGTTCATTTATAAACTTGTAGTCTATCACAGAATCGCGGAATTTAGCATTTAGTAATATTCCTACACCGTATTGGTGTAAGTCATTTTCATTTGGCATGCCTGACCAAAATATAACGTGACCTTTTGGGGACCCAATATATATATATATATATATATAAAATTATGTGCGTGATAAATGAAGTGTTTAATTTTGTATAAATAATCGTTTATATACCGTTTATTCGCTAAAATTTTCTTATAAATTTATCAAATTTATGTAAACGATTTTTCATATAAAATTAGACAATTTATCAAGCAGATAAATTTATACGTTTATATGGTTTATAAGACATTTATCAGTTTAGATGAGTACCCCTATGATGTGTATAATTTTTTTTAGTTATTTGAAGGGACAAAATTATTTGAAGAGAGACAAAACATAATTTACAATTTAAAGGAGATATAACAAGAAAATGTGTAAAAAGATTAAATGAGTAGCTAGATTAAAGATATCACAACTTTCAATTGAATGCGTCTGCTATCCAAGACATGGATGCTTCCAGTCTTCGAGACATATACACAAAGACATTTGGCTAATTTGTTCAAAAATGTCTGCGAAAACCATCGTACCTTTGGATCGATCGGTCTTCAAGCACGTATCCATGTCTTCAAGACGTCTTCGATGACGGATCGATCCGTTTCCTACTGGGTTATGAAAATATAAACGGAAACAGAAATATTTATTTATGCAAATAAAGTTACATTGAACAACTGTAAAACAGATTTTCAAAATTAAGAATCGCTTTCTCTGTTGTACCAATTAACTACATAAAATTTTGTTAAGTTATTGCTTAGAGTTCTTTATATTTGAAATTGGCGAAAGAAATAGAATGAACGTGACACATTTAGAGAAATAATTGAAGTATTTATATTTATTAGTTGAAATAATTTCAATAATATTTTAATTTAATAATTTTATTTTTATATTGTGTGTTTAACAAAAAAAATCCACAAAAACCGCTGAAGTCAATATTTTATAATTCCATCTTAAACAAACGTGATTTATAAAATCATCATCAGATCTATTTAGACTAAACATTTCTTCAATAACCTGTCAGGTAAATTTAGACAATGTCTTGATCCTAATAATAACTGTTTAGAAGGAATCAACTTATGTTAAATGGCCAGTTCCGTTTATCAAATCTTTATTGTCAGCAATTTAAATTTGAAATTAAATCAAAATAGAAGTCTAATATATAGATATCTAATATATCTGATATATATATCTGTTACTAAATACCAATTCTAATAATACTGTTTTGTCATCTCTTATTCTTTACAGAAATTATATTCTAAGAAATGCAACATTATTCTGGTATATTTTTATTATTTCTCATTGGTATTTCAATATCACTCACTTCTAAATATAAAGTCAGAATTGGCAGCGTGAAAATTTCAGATCACAATGGTAAGTACTGACAAAAATTATAAATTAATGGGAACAAAAGTAATACCACTTTAATTACTCAATAGGACTTAAATGTGACAAACTCTCTTGCCCTCCGGACACAGAATACTGTGTGGTTACCATTGTTGATGCAGAAAACAAACGGGATTTAAATCGTAAAAATTATTGCCATGCAGAAGATGATTCTATTTTAGAAATGCTTGAAGAACACAAACGATATACTTCCAATGACCACACACCATTTCATTTGAAGTATTGTAGAGACGGAAGAACAGACGTCACAGGTACTGGAATTCAAATTCATTCAAAATTTTAATTATAACAGTAAAATCAATTTTGTAATTGTCCACGATCGATGCAATACAAAAAGTCTTGCAATTACGTTAAATGTAAATTTCTGGCAATAATGTTATGTATTAATTTTATTTATTCTATTATATTTATTGTAATTTGATCTATTCAAAATATAAGAGCTCTTATTAAAAATATATTTGATCAATATAGATATTTTACTTTGATTTGTTTATAATTCACAGTTCAAAAGATTTATTGGTAGCTGTGCTCCGCTTCACATGACGGCTTCGTGCAGTTTTATTTTATATATACTCCTAATAATAATCTATTTAGTCATTAACTTTTTATTATATTTCATACTTTTCGCGTATATCTGGCAGTGTACAAATGATATATTAGAATACAACAAAGCAAACATCGGGAGCCTGCTTTTTATCAGCATGGCTTCAAGTTTGAATACAAACCAGAACCATAGTTATTGAATGGATGAATTTGTATTTGCATTTGTTAGAAACCACCTTAACCATTTGTTGGAAAAATAAAAATCATATGATTATATCTTATTGCTAAATAAGATATATAAGATATAACATATTTTATATGAACTTTTATTGTTCTTCATTATTTTCAAAAGATCGAATTAGATATGTAATAAATGTGGTCAACATATAATAGAAATTTAAATTAATTTGAACTGATTCCAGCTTTGTTACATCTCTATACTATCTATTTGTTTATCTATTTGTTTAATTTTATTTATCAATTTTTAATTAAAGAGCAAATAAAACTATATCATAAATTTACTTAATACAATTTAATAATATAGAAAACTTTGTTAGTGAACTCTCAATGAACACAACTCATATTAAAATTTTGGCAAAATCAATGTAAACTCCTATACAGGGTTTGAATTGCTTGCTGAAAATTAGCAAAAGCAACCATATTTTGACTAATGCATAAATATTGACCAGTCAATTTTTGACAAACGACTAATTGCTAACGCATTGCATATGAAAATGAAATAAGAATATGCATTAGCAACAGCAAAAAACGTAAACTGGTTTCATTTTGATTGCTTGCTAATAGTCAATTTTACATTTTTGACTATTATGCATTTGGAATATATGCAACGTGCTTGCTTATGCGTTAGTTGCTTGTGTTTTGCTATTAGCAAATGTGTATTAAAGTGCTGCATCAAAACATTCGTTTTTGCGGTCATTCGTTTTATTTTCAAATGTGTACCATATTTACAAATTATTTCTAAAGCGAATACGAACGAATAACAGAAACGGTCCGATAGAATTCGTTTCCGCAGCATTCGTTTCAATGGAATGGGGGTTGATTTGTTCTCTATAATCGTTTGTTTTGAATTTTAAAATCAAATAAACAAATATTTTAGAGTATTTCAATCACTTTTAGAGTATTTCAATCACTTTTAGAGTATTTCAAATAATTCTATTTTTGCAAAGAAATATTTTATATATTTTGTGTGCGTTTGGTTGCCTGCGCAAAAGTAAAGAAAGTTGGATGTGCGTAGAGATTTGCAATAATTGCAAGAACAAAGTACGTAAATTAGGTTTAATTTTCTATTATTTTCAATGCAAAAGTTGTTTAAACAGGTAGATCTAATGCAAAAGGTTAACTTAAAAAAACGGTTTGCGTAGAATTTCCTTCTTTGTCGATAGTTTTTTATGATGTAACAAAATAAATTGCTTCACATATTTACCTTTTCCTGGAAAATAATTTTATGCATGATATGGTAAAAATATCTATTTATGACAAGAGAGATTTTTAGAAATTTCTTAAGAATCCTTCAGAATTCCTACTTTACAAAGTTTCTTGTAAATTATTTGCAACACCAGCAAGTAGTGCATCTTCGGAAAGGGTTTTTTCAGTTGCTCGGAACTTAATATCAGAAAAAAGAACATTGATTTCATCTAATCAAAGATCTATCAATCAAATCATGTTTTACACAACAATCTTGAAAAAGAGAAATTAAGTCAAACGATGCTCAACATTTAATTTGAATATTAAATTAAATTTGTGAACTGTAAAAACTGTAAAAAAACTTATTATAATTTTTTTAAATAAATTTTTGTTCAAAATTTTTTTTATATTTAATTAATATATTAAGTCATATTATATATGTAATCAACAAATTACTATTATCAATCAACATTTTAAATAATATTTAATTAATAAAAAAACTTAAATAAATAAATTTGGGTCTTACTATTTAAAAACACATAATTTTTGTATGAACTGAAAATCAAATGCTTAGAGTACTCCCAACTACTTCAACTACTTTTAGAATGTTTAGAGTTAGAGTACTCTAAACAAACGAAACAAATATTTATTCTATTCCATTTTGTTTTTATGCCTATACATTCGTATTTGTTCGTTGAGAGTGAGAGTATGCTACCATTCTAAACACAATAGAATGCTTTGAAACTGAAATCAAATGCGCGCGTGCAGTACTCTAATGTGTATGGATTTCTTTTTTTGTTTTTGTTTTAAGGGAATGTGTACGCATTATTTCTTTGTCAATTATGATGTGTGCGTACAATTTGTATGCAATTAATATAATTTTATTTGTAATTAGATTATGCCTAAACTTATGTTTATTTTAATTATTAAATTTATGATATATATGATATATATATATATATATATAGATAGATATATATATATATATTAATTATGAACTATTAATTCATCAAAAAAAATTCTAACGGCTATCGTGAAATTTTTGAACTAAAAAAGTTGACTCTACCACAACTCGATTGTCCTACACGGTGGGGATCGACATATAATATGGTAGAAAAAGTTTATGCAGCCAAGGAAGTTTTGGACAACGTAGAGTCTGTACAAAATAAATCTTTAGATGAGAATTTTGAATTATGCGATGAATTTTGGGAGTTTGTGAAGAGTTATTCTACTGTGTTTGAACCATTACAACGAACAATCATAAAATTTCAAGAAGAACATCTGCATTATGGAAATTTTTTTGCACAGTGGATGAAGTGCAATCTTATAACCAAAAAAATTGTAAATGATTTTGATGATAAAAGTTCTCTTGTAAATAAAATTGGAACGAATTTGTTGCATAATATAGAAGTGAGAACTGTAAAACTTCTAACAAACAAAAGCTTAAACGCATGTTTGTATTTGGACCCACGCTTTAGCCATACATTGACTGTAGAGCAAAAAAACGAAGCTGTTCTGTTTTTAAAACGACTATATAATAGACTGACAGCACTGAACTCAGGTTTCCTGATTGATAAGAAGAATTCAGCCACAAATTGTACACAAATGGAAGATACTCTCGAATATGAGGATAGGTACCTTAATGATTATCTTTCTAACCACTTCGAAGCTCAAAGTAATAATAACATGGACGTCTACACCAAAATTGAAATTTTGAAGTTACCTTTTCAACGTGTTGATATAAATGTATTGGACTTTTGGAAGGAAAGACAGTTTGCTGATCCAGAATTACATGCGCTTGCGAATATATGTTTTGCAATTCCACCAACTCAGGTAAAATATTCGTTTAGCATAATGTCATTTACATTTAAGGTTACCATCGAGCGTGCTTTTTCGTCACTAAAATTGATATTATCTGATCAACGAAATCGTCTTAATCATGAAACTTTAGAAAACATTCTCATGGTTAAACTAAATCCGCAATTTTTGGACCATGCTATTGATGATATGCCGTTGTTTCAACCTCCTGAATGGGAGTTAAATTTAGAAGAATAATAACATCAAATTAAAATTTTTAATCATAATTGATAACAAAGTTTTTATGTTTTTTACCGGGCGTAGGTCGTTTATTAAACACATTAATTTATAAAAACGTTTTTTAAATAAAATAAAAAATTTCACTTTTTAAACTGTTTTAAATATTAAGTTATATTTTAATTTTAATACAAAATTATTTATATATATTATATATATATATATATTTATTTATATATGAATTAATAGTTAATAATTAATATATATATATATATATCTATCTATATATATATATATATATCATATATATCATAAATTTAATAATTAAAATAAACATAAGTTTAGGCATAATCTAATTACAAATAAAATTATATTAATTGCATACAAATTGTACGCACACATCATAATTGACAAAGAAATAATGCGTACACATTCCCTTAAAACAAAAACAAAAAAAGAAATCCATACACATTTGCTAATAGCAAAACACAAGCAACTAACGCATAAGCAAGCACGTTGCATATATTCCAAATGCATAATAGTCAAAAATGTAAAATTGACTATTAGCAAGCAATCAAAATGAAACCAGTTTACGTTTTTTGCTGTTGCTAATGCATATTCTTATTTCATTTTCATATGCAATGCGTTAGCAATTATGCAAGCAATGCAATTAGCAACAGCAATTCAAACCCTGCTCCTATACATTCCCTTTTTCTCATGAAGTGTAAATATCTTTATAAGGATTATATCGACCAGATATTGAACCATCACTTGTCTTAATAATAATCAGTAATTACTACTAATAGTCTCCAATGACAATCGACTCATTGTGAATTGAGAACAATTATATATAGAATCATTTAGGTAAGTTTCTTATTAAAGAATATGTTTTTGAATTTGCTTGGAATATTGAACTAAACCGATATTTCAAATTTATTATTTATTATTCATCAATTGTATTTCGATTTTTAAAGCATAAAGATTAATTGTTGATTTGTATAAAATTTTGTAAACCCCTGATATAATCTTTACACATATATAAAATATTCCTCATTCTCAATTGAATACTCAATGCAATACTCAATACTGTGAATTGCTTGATTTTTAATAATTTAGAATGAAACATTAATTAAATTCATCAATATAAAAAAGTCACCTTGAAAAACTGTAAAACAGATTTCCGATAATTAAAAATATCTCCTCCGTCTCGCTGTTAAACTCTATAAAATTTTGTTGGATTAAAAATTTTTAGTCAAAATAGCGGAGAGAAGTAGTATGTATATAAGACAGAAACTTGTAAGTTGCATTATACTAATAACACTATATATTATATTATACTAATAATTAAAAATTTAATTAAAAAAGTAATTCACTTAATTCAGTAACTTAGTGTTTTAATCATACAACCTAGATAAGAACATTAATATTATTTTAAAATAATTTATACTCATGTAATTATTTATAAATTCTAAAAATATTAATGTTCTCTGTAAGTAAAATTATTGATATTAATTTCCAAATATTTTGAAAGGAATTGTACGTATCATTTAAAAAACAAAAGACTCATTTATTGGGGAGCATATTACCTGCTTCGATATATAATATAATAATTAGATTATAATAAGATTATATATAATATAATCAACTAACTGACCCGGCGAACGTTGTTTCCCCTTGCAATTAATTTTCCTGTGTCAGCTGAGTTATAACATTTGTTGTTATTCAACTTAACCTTTTGACCATTTTAAATTAAAAAAAAATATCAATGGATATTGCAAAGCGTCGTAAGAGCGATGACTGTCTGCAATCGTATGCACTGTGTTATCTCTGCGTTGTATTCGTATATTTCGACGTTCAAATGCGTCGCCAACCATAACAACTGCAACTTCATTAATAGTCGGTGCATTATATCGGCCCGCATGCTGCCCAGATGGTACTTTGTCTGTTTTGATGACGATTGTATAGTTGTCGTTTAGCAGTCTGTTTGAAACGGTATTGAACAACTGGACCAACTGGTTGTGATATTTTAAAAACGGTTCTAAAATACCCAGAATTTCTTGCTCCTCCATCTGCTCGATATGGTTATACTGGCAACGTGCGTTTATTTGCTGCTTCTCATCACCCATGAAGTAGATTTGCAGAAATTTGGGATCATTATTGGGCATCGGCATTAAAGAACCAATTTGGTGATACACTTGGCCCTGAATCTTAAGCGTTGATTGAAAATTGCGACCAATCTCATTCTGAACGATTTTTGTTGTTTCAAATGATGTCATTTGAAAGCACGAATTGAATTTGCGAATTTTACGAAAAAACCATTTAGATTAAGATGTAGCTCCAGCCAATAGTGCTTTCAATGGTTCTGGCGGCGAATTCAATGGTGGCAATACAACTTTTCCAGATGCGCCGCAGAAATCGGCCGATTCACCTTTGTATTTGAGTGCATGACAGTGTTGGCACTGTTTGTTCATAGCACCGATTGCAATTCGTGAATGTGACGAAATGTCGATATCCGACTCATATTCATATTATTTTTTTTTGTACGTTATTTATATCTTTAACATACCCCAGTAAAATAATTATATGTGCAGTACTTAAAAACTAATTTAAACTTCAAAAAATTTTGTTAGGGTGAATTTAGTTTATTATTTGTTTTTATGTTTAGTAGTCTAATTAAAATAATAAAAAAATTTTATTCAAATTAATTTTTTTTAAGAGAAAAATTAACTTTATTTTAAATCTTCATAGAAAATATTTATATGTGCAATTCACATTTTTTGCTAAAAACAATTAAATATTTTATGTGATTCAATTTTTTTTATTTTTCAATAAGGTAATGTGTTTCCATTATTTATTTTTATTAACTGTATCCTAAGTGGCATTGAATCTACCAATTTTTTTAATAGTAGGAGGTCAATTTTGGCCCATTCGTCCAGTATATCCTTTTTCAGCTCTTTAAGAGTGTCGTATTGCTTCGAATAAGCATAAATATTGGCACTAAGGATACACCAAAGATCCTCTATTGAATTTATGTCAGAACTCATGGCCGGCCAATCTAGCAATGGGATGCTTCTCTCTTCAAAGAATTTCTTTTTGCACAAGAAACATGTATTGGAGCATTATCCTGTTGGAAAGTCCAATTATCTCCATGAATATTTTCAGCGAAATTTATCAGTTCGCTATCCAACAGATTTATGTATATTTCGGAATTCATTTTTGATAGTGCGAAGCATATATTAGACTTTTCCTTCGAGCTAAAGGCAGCCCACACCATTAGTGGACCACCACCATGGTTGCGTTTCTTGCAATTCTGACGTGGATGACGAATATCTCTCCAATATTTATGTTGACCATCTGGACCATCTAGATTAAACTTTTTTTCATCACTGAAAACAACTGTTTCGAACTCCTTGTCTCAAAACTTAATTTTGTCATAAAAAGCTAAACAAGCATTTTTATGTCTTTGTGTAAGGCACGGTTTGGGAACTTTCGACTCATATTTTAGCTTTAAGTCTTTTTTCATAATTTGTTGCACGCATTTCCTAGTGATAGACAAATATAATGCATTTCTTATTTGTCTGCAACTCATCCTCTCATTGGTAGCAAGAAGCTGAATATGCCGTTTTGTTCGGTTGTTAATAGTTGGTAAGCGGCCCTCTCGCTTATAACACCATAGTTTTCGAGATTTTTTAAAAAGTTTATTATAGTATTCAGGTGTCTATAACCAGCAGCAGATATTTCGCCACTTTTCATCCCAGCAAGACTCATTTCAATAATCTTTCCGCACTCTTCACTTGAAAATTCCGTCCCACGCGGCATTTTTTATCTAAATTAATTAAAATAATAAATATTTATTAATAAATAATAAGTATTTTACTTACCAATTCTTCGTTACTCTTCAATACTTTAAAAAAAAAACTTTATAATACACTTCACAACTTTATTTCCATTTACTGTTGACACTTCGAGAAGCAAAACAATTTTGCACATATAATTATTTTCTATTAAATTTGCTACCTATTGTTATTAATTATGATAACGGTACCACAAATAGTATACAAAAAAAACTATATATGTTTAGAGAAGTTAAACTCAACTACAGAATCAACTGTATATAAAAAAAATTAGTACCATTATTCTAAGAAGAGAATAACGAAAAACAAATTTTGCACATATAATTATTTTACAGGGGTATATATATAATTCTTCTTTTTTATGTGTGTTCAAGTGAATTTAAGAATGGTTTAGATTCACAATTTGGTCCACTGGATAACGTTTTTTTAATTATTATACAGTTTTTTGGTATCCATATACATTTATATTAGACCTTTAAAAGTTAATCATACTTACTTTGATTTGTTTAAAAAGTTTAAACTCTAAAATGAATCGTTCAGCTATCCTGTTGTATTTTTGAATTCGCTGGAATACCAGGAATACCAACACATAACTTAAGATTAAAAATTGGCTCACCTATAATTGTACTGCGGAATTTAAATGCACTTAAGCTATGCAACGGCAATTTTACGATTCATTTTAGAGATTTTAAACTTTTTAAACAAATCAAAGTAAGCATGAATAAATTTTAAATTTCTAATATAAATGTATATGGATACCAAAAAATAAAAAATTAATTAAAAAGACATCATCCAGTGAGCCAAATTGTAAATCTAAACCTTCCTTGAATCCACTTGAACACACACAAAAAATTTCATCAAAATCGGTTCAGGAACCGTTTAGGAGAAGTTCACTGTCAACACACGTACAGAAGAATTATATATATAAGATAATAATAGTATTTAGAAAATATGGACGTCCAACCACTGACGAGAATAGACATTTAAAACAATTAAAATTTAAAATCGATATTTATATCAAAGAGTGCTATTTCTAACTGAATTATCATGTGCCGAGCACTTTAAAAAACGAAATCAATTAGCCAAGGTTTGTGTAGATATTACAGGACACTTAATTTCTTACTTAATTGAAATTGAAAACTATTTAAAGCAGGATTTTAAATACTCTGCTGAAGAGAATTCTTCACAATCTTATTTCTTAAAAAAAATAATTAAACTCCCATCAAGTCTCACTCTCATTAAACACTAATCTAGAAGATAGTCAATATATTCACTTAAAGTATATCTACAAATCCTTATTTCTGTATGGCAGCCATAGTCATAGAACATTTTTGGAAAAATAAATTTAATCAACTAGGGTCGACCTATGACGTTACTTGCAATACAAAGAAGACGCAACAAATGTATAATGAGAATGAAAATAAAACTAAAACTATTTTCAAATTAAAAAAAATAAAGAAATGTAAAAATTTGGCAAACAAATTAAGAAGTTTGCGAATTTCTAAGTTTACAGATAAAAGGACAAGAGCCTTAATATGTACTCAGTTAATTTCAAACTACAGACGTTGACAAAATCTTGAGTGTAATCAAATATTGGTTGGTTGAACCAAAAAATCTTTGAAAAATCAAATCTTAATTACTAAGCAAAGATTTTAAATAGATCTAGAATGCCGTTTCTCCTGTGCTCGTTATTAAGACCAGTTGTTGAACTGTCTGTTATTAAGAAATTTTAATATCTTAACAAAAATTGAAACTGATCGCGTCATATATAACCGAATTTTATTTAATAAAGAAATTTTATGAGGAATTTCATTTTTTAATAATTAAAATAAAAATATTTTTATTTAATCAAAATTCTATAATATCATAACGAAACATATAACGGGACACAGTATTCAATTTAAATTCCATTCGAAATATCATATGTTTTATTTAAGCTTTAAATATATAGACTCCAAGGCTACAACTCCAAGGCCACAAATTTATTTCTGAAGTGAAATGGATGTGAATGTGAAAGATATATGTGGTTTCAACAAAACGGTGCTACAAGTCACATAATACTTTTCCAGAAGTGTAAGTTTTCACTTTGGTTCTGTTAATAGGAGACCAAATTTAATGTGATTTGTCACTAAACAAACAGTTTTCGAATGGTTACACAAAGAATCCTTAAACTCTAGACGCTTTGAAAATGAACATCCCTCAAATTACCACATACATGGCAATAACGTTTACCGACTACATATAAAATATACGTTAAAGAGATTCAGTGCTGATTGATGTTCCATTATGATGTATATTATACGTCATCAAAAAGTCTAAATTATATATTAAAATAAAAATTTGAACTTGGGTTGGTCTGAAACAGGATTTTTGTGGTTATCTAAATTTGATCTGGATCGCGAGTGGGATTCTGTGGTTAAAGTTTTCGACAAAGCCTGCAATTAAAAACTATTAAATAAAACCCATGATGAACAATAAAAAGAGACAACAACAGAAGATATTGATTTATTTCAATACTCTCCATTTAAATAACTCAGTTGGTGGTCCCTAGGAAAGTATTTTGCCATTTTCTTTGACTTACCCAGTATTATAAATGCTCTAAAGTGAGGGTACTGAATTTTTTCCTTCATTTATTAGTCATTATATTGAAAGCTTTGGTATTGGTTTGGTTGACATAAACGCATATACCATAGCTATATAACTGCTTAATTTTTCTCATTGATTTTACAAATTTTTAATAATTATTTATTACTAAGAAATATTTTTGAGTACATATATACACTCCACATATATAATGTACACATATTCATATAAGTAGTTAACCTAAAATAAATAATTATTACAGACTATAAATTTCAGATTTCATTTAACATTATTGTTAATTATATTACACCTGCTTTATATAACAAAGAACCTATACCTTCCAACGAGAAAACCAAATGGAAACTATAGGTAATGAATTTATCTTAAATCTGTAATTATCTTTATTCTGTTAATCTTCAACAGACATTTCAAAAATAATTACTTTCCGTCTTCTTTCCTGTTCCCTTCTCTCTATGTCGCTATTTCTCACATTATTTCAATTTATTATAACTTTATAAAAGTCTGAAGAGGTGCAACTCCAACTCATTTGATTTGAACCTGTGAAAAAGTGAAGTTTGAGAATATCAGAGGTATATATATTTTGCAAAGCCTCAATTTACAAATAAATTAGTGTTTTGTTGATAATTAACAAAAGTCTATTAAATATTTAATAATTAATCTGTTGAATAAGTTGAATTAATATATTGTACTTGAATGGATATTTTAAAATTCAAGGACAATTGGTTCTTTAAATTACAATTTTGTGTTTGTTAATATTATTAATAATTAATTTTATTAATTAATTCAATTACTACAAAATTAGATTAATTTAATTAATACAAGAATACATACTGCCTCTTCTTAGTAGCAGGCTAAGGGTGGTTTTTTTAAACTTTAAGAAATATTTTTTTTAGTTAGTATTTTCATAGCTTAGATTATGAGCAGAATAAATATAAAAACCTATAAAAAAAAATATATACATTTGTCTACTATATATTCATAAACATACCATATAAGTAGAGTTTAAAAATTCCGTCACTGCATGCAAGTGACAATTAATTAGGCAAACTGACTTAAGAAATATCGGATTTAAGGGGTTTAGTATCGGATTGAATATGGGCAAGTTATCAATTCAATTTATTTTTCAAAACATTTTATTACCATAGGTAGGTAGGTAGGTTAAAGTGACGCCTTGTTTCCAAAAAGTCCACTTGAACTCAAATAATGGCCCATTTTAACACCACAGCATTAGTACGTGCATAGATTGAAATCAGTATACAACGAATCCCAAACAAGGTAACGACTCGCCCATTAGGTAAAGGAAAACCAGCCTGACAGCTCTACAAATTTAACTAGGTGCCTAATATTATAGGATGACAGCTGAGGTCGATGAGAAAAGGGGCCCGAAGATTTTTCATCTTTTCCTAACTAAAGAAGGGCATTAATGGAGCACGGTCTCCTCCTCTTCCTCATAGCCACAACCTCGACATAAGTCATTGTAGGGTAGACCTAGTCTCATTGCATGACTTTCTACTTCGCAGTGATCCGTCAGCACAGATACCGCAGAGCTGATCAGGTTTCGCATTACTTGAAGTAACTGAGTAATGCGTTTCTTGTCTAAATTAGACCAAGTCAACCAAGTCAATTAGATATAGTGTGTTATTATTTTATTCATTATCACAGCACTTTAGAACATATTACCATCTTCAGTTTTACCATTCACAAATTTCAATATATTTGACATTGCGACCGAATTAATAATTTTGCTTAATCAATTTAACTGTTTTATTTGACATCTTATACTGGCATCTTATATTGGATATATTATATATATATATCCAATAGCATTCATTGATAGTACAATCAAGACTTTGATGTCAATGCACCATTTGGCTATTTGAAGTCAACGTGTCAGTGTTTTTTCACCGGTGAAAATTGTTGAACAACCTGCAGTCATTAAATTCTTTAAATTAGAATTTCGTACACATAGGAAATACTTTCAAAATATTGGATTGGTTTGTTAAAAAATGTTTGGGAAGCGTATTAAAAACTACTTTATGATTGGTAACTCGGACGAAATAAACCGGGAACAGCGGTATGTTGCGATTTTCATAATATTTTCGTTGACTGTGTACGAGTGTTTAGGATGATGTGCGTTTACATGATTTAAGTCAGTATTTCACTTTTCCCCTGCATTTTTTAATATCATGTTCTATCCCTTTATTTTTTATTGAGAATAATATTTATCAGCCTTATATATATATACATATATGAACTAGGTGGCCCCGCGAACTTCGTGCCTCGTAACAGTCAATGAATGTTATATTAAATTTTATGTTCATCAGCAACCGATCACTTGGTGTCTGTCCAGGAAGCAGCATTTGAACAATTTCTTTCCATTTTGGATTACACGTATTGAATAAATCTGGCCGACCGTAATGACGGACATAAGTCATTGCATCTTGCGCATATTCATGCATATAACGTGGACTACCTGTGTACGATGCCGGTAGAATAATAAATGTAAATATAATAAATAAATACTGTCATCAATATATGAGCTGAAAGGGTCGATTTGTTTGTTTTGTGCGAGTGTTTAATATTAACAATGCCACGACCCAGAAAGTCTAATCTTTCCCAACAAAGGCGTAATGCAATTAGGCGTCGAAATATTATGCATTTGTCCACTAAAGAAGAACGAGAAATCGCACGAGAAAGGAGCCACATTAGTATGACCCACCTTCGCGCTTCTCAAACACAACAGCAAAGAGAGGCAGCCCGTGAAACGGCTCGGTTAGCAATAAGAAATCGTCAAGCTTATCACACAGATCAACAACGAGAAAATATCCGACGATCAAGAAGAAATGCCTCAACTATTGATTTGTATCGGGCAGCGTTTCTACACGATTGGGCAAATGATTACACTTCGCATCCTTTCGTTCCCATTGATCCAATGGACGTTACTTGCGAACATTGCGGAGCATTAAAGTTCGCTGGAGAATCGCCAGGATTATGCTGCCTGGCGAGTGGCCTGGCAAAGTGAAATTGCCATAATTGACTCCGCCACCTGAGCTATTGCATTCATTGCTTTGTGGTGAAACACCAGAATCACGACATTTTCTAGTGAAGACTCAAAAGTACAATGGCTGCTTTCAAATGACTTCATTCGGGGCAGACATTATCAAAAAACATAGATTTAATCCGACGTTCAAGGTAATTTATGTTGAAAAGAGCAAATGTTTAAAGAGATTAGATTTAAAATAAAATATTTGTGTCTAAAATAAATAAGGAATGTTAACATTTTGAAAAAATTGGCATTATAAATCAGTAATATTGACTTCGCTTTCGACTCCTCAGATTCAAGGCCAGATTCACCATCGAATTGGATCATTGCAACCTGTTGAAGATGCACAACATAAATTCTTGCAAATATATTTAATGGGCAATATGATGAAACAACTTGAACGGCGTCAAGAGATCAACACAGCAATGAAAATAGCAATTCTTCAAGATCTACGACAACTACTTCATGAACATCATGCATTGGTCAGGCTGTTCAAGACTGCGTTGAAGCGCATGCCATATATAGCGTTCCTAACTTAGCGCCTAACTTATATTCGGTTGAACCAAACCAAACTGCGTTCAGAGGAGTATATCCATTTACAAGATGCAATTAGCACCGACGGCGATGCAGCTAATATTGGTCGTTTGACTATTCTATCGGCATCATACACAGGTAGTCATATGCATGAATTTGCGCAAGATGCAATGACTTATCTCCGTCATTACGGTCGGCCAGATCTATTCATTACGTTTATGTGTAATCCAAAATGGAAAGAAATTGTTCAAATGCTGATTCCTGGACAGACATCAATTGATCGGTACGACATCACTGCACGTATATTTAAGTAAAAAATTCAGTCGCTGATGAACCTAAAATTTAATATAACATTTATTGACTGTTACGAGGCACGAAGTTCGCGGGGTCACCTAGTTTGAAATATTTGAAAAAAAATTTAAAAAGAAATCAATATCACTTAAACTGTCGACCTGTCAACAGTTTGAAACAGAATTTACAAATTTATTATTTTTACTAAAATTAGTGGATTTTTCCAATATTTTATAATATATTCTGCTATTCAGAACGAAGACGATTCCAATAAATCAAAGATACTTACAATCGGTCCAGAAGTTCTTGAGTTATAAGTGGTCTAACTAACACCACTTTCATTTATGTATATAGATATATATGTATTTATATATAGATTTTATTCGAACAGTAGTGAACTGCAACAACAAAAATTTATTTTATATTATATTAATTAATTGAATTTTTAACTGACCATACAGCTTTTTCGAGTATTGCCAAATACCCATCAGTGGTCTTGGAAATAATTCTTGTATTTAATTATTCGTAAATAAAAATTTTTTGAGACTGCAAGTAACAGGAATCGGACTCGCGTCCTGCCAAATTTTAGCAGGAATCGGACTCGTGGCCTGCCAAATTTGAAGTTCAGAATCAGCGCACCTTAACCAACTGACCCAATATATATATATATATATATAGATTTATGTGCTTGATAAATGAAGTGTTTAATTTTGTATGAAAAATCGTTTTTATAACACTTATTCGCTAAAATTTATTTATCAAGCAGATAAATTTATACGTTTATAAGGTTTATAAGACATTTATCAGTTTAGATGAGTACCCCTATGATGTGTATAATTTTTTTAGTTATTTGAAGGGACAAAATTATTTGAAGAGAGACAAAACATAATTTACAATTTAAAGGAGAAATAACAAGAAAATGTGTTAAAAGATTAAATGAGTAGCTAGATTAAAGAGATCACAACTTTCAATTGAATGCGTCTGCTATCCAAGACATGGATGTTTCCAGTCTTCGAGACATATACACAAAGACATTTGGCTAATTTGTTCAAAAATGTCTGCGAAAACCATCGTACCTTTGGATCGATCGGTCTTCAAGCACGTATCCATGTCTTCAAGACGTCTTCGATGACGGATCGATCCGTTTCCTACTGGGTTATGAAAATATAAACGGAAACAGAAATATTTATTTATGCAAATAAAGTTACATTGAACAACTGTAAAACAGATTTTCAAAATTAAGAATCGCTTTCTCTGTTCTACCAATTAACTTATATAGTAATTTTGTTGAGTTATTGCTTAGAGTTCTTTATATTTGAAATTGGCGAAAGAAATAGAATAAACGTGACACATTTCGAGAAATAATTAAAGGACTTATATTTATTAGTTGAAATAATTTTAATAATATTTCAATTTAATAATTTTATTTTTATTTTGTGTGTATAACAAAAAATTCCACAAAAACCGCTGAAATCAAAAATTCCATCTTAAACAAATGAGATTTAAAAAGCATAATTAGATCTATTTAGATAAAACCTTTCTTCAATAACCTGTCAAGTGAATTCAGACAATGTTTTGATCCTAATAATAACTGTTTAGAAGGAATTAACTTATGTTAAATGGCTAGTTCCGTTTATGAAATCTTTATTGTCAGATATTGAATCCTATATCAAAATAGGAGTCAGATATCTAATATATCTG